AACTAAAAACTTAACTTTAGTCAGTATGACAGCAAAAAATTGCAAAAATATGGAGTTATAACCTAAAATATAAAGAAGTGATTGATGCAATGTGATGCCATTGCAAGAACTTTATCACCAATCATTCATATTGAAAACCAAAATTTCTAGAATTTTTGAATATTTCGGATCCTTAGACAGTAAGAGCTTCCATCTAGAAAACAACTGTCAACATAAAATTTGGAAACAATGCTTTAAATGCTATTTTTGTAAAGTTTAAATTTTCCACTATACATACATTGAACAACATAATTGACTTTGTGTTTAACTTACTTTATTTAATTTGTAATTTTGTAGCATGTAATTGACAGTAATCAAAAAGTAATGTAATTACTTTTGCTAAAGTAATCGATTGCAATCGATTACATACAAAAATCAGTAATCAATTATTAATCGATTACACAAAAATCCTTCAAGTAATCGATTATTAATCGATTACATTTGTCAGTAATCGTGCCCATCCCTGATGTACGTGTAAACAGATCATTATGTTTTTAGCCTGTCGCATAATTGTTCAAATATTCCTAAATCAACTAACATAAACACAAATTCTGACCAGGACTTAAATGTTCTACTCATGTTGAGATATCTAGTATATGTTCTACTCATGTTGAGATATCTAGTATATGTTCTACTCGTGTTGAGATATCTAGTATATGTTCTACTCGTGTTGAGATATCTAGTACATGTTCTACTCGTGTTGAGATATCTAGTACATGTTCTACTCGTGTTGAGATATCTAGTATATGTTCTACTCGTGTTGAGATATCTAGTATATGTTCTACTCGTGTTGAGATATCTAGTATATGTTCTACTCGTGTTGAGATATCTAGTATATGTTCTACTCGTGTTGAGATATCTAGTATATGTTCTACTCATGTTGAGATATCTAGTATATGTTCTACTCGTGTAGAGATATCTAGTATATGTTCTACTCGTGTTGAGATATCTAGTATATGTTCTACTCATGTTGAGATATCTAGTATATGTTCTACTCATTTTGAGATATCTAGTATATGTAGTACCAAACCACCACAGACCACAACCAAACTATATCAATCGTTATAAAGAGTACATTCTTCATGTTTGAAGTATAAAACACTGAAAAGTTTTCTCATCATCATATAAAAATATAGAAAAATTAACACTGCTATTCTAATGTACACTTCAATTCTGTTAAATCAGTCACTGGATATTAATCGAAATGCAGATCCAACATTACATAAAACTTTTAACAATAAGATTGTGGCTTCTTTATAAATACATGTATATGTAGGTAACAGGTGAATCAGTGATGGACATTATTTATATGATCAGGGTCATGACTCATCTGCTATCAGTTATCCTCTGGGGCAATAATAATTTAGATGGTGTCCAGTCCCAAAATGTTTTTTTTTTTACAATTTCAGGCTTGTTTATTGTATCCTATGGAACTTTTATACAAGAAAGTTTCTAATATGTGTCTTAGAATGTTATTTTAATTTGTGAGTTTTGAGTCAATTCGTTGGACATGGAATTTGGAAGCTAATGCCTTTTAAGATCAGTTTCTATTCTTTTGTATTTGAATGGTATTGTGCCATTTATACATTAAACAGTTTTGAAACTTGCGTTCAAGTCTTGTCAGTTATTTTTACTGCCCGATTTATGGGCATTATGTTTTGTCGGTCTGTGCGTCTGTTGGTCTGTCCGTCTGTCCCGCTTCAGGTTAAAGTTTTGGTCAAGGTAGTTTTTGATGAAGTTGAAGTCCAATCAACTTGAAACTTAGTAGACATGTTCCCTATGATATGACCTTTCTAATTTTTATGCCAAATTAGAGTTTTGACCCCAATTTCACAGTCCACTGAACATAGAAAATGTTGATGGGAGTGGGGCATCCGTGTACTATGGACAATCAGGTACTATGGACAATCCGTGTACTATGGACACATTCTTGTTTTTCATGATTCACTGTTAACAAAATGTAACTCTTCAAAAAAGTGTTTGTAGCTGGCTTTAGATATATATGTATTTAATGCAAACTTTCTTATAACATATGGTATACTGATATACATGTACTACATGTAAACTGTTTCCTACATGTTTTGGACGTCAGTACATGTTATTATTATTTTAGGTGAAGAATGATAGGAATTAGAATGGATAATTACAAGGTAAAAGTCTGTTGTATCACTGAATTCTGTGTTGCTTCTACATGTATACCCTCAAATACCACCTACATGTAATAGATATTTTATGTTGACACTCATTGTCTTCATTTGCTTACAAGCTTTTTTATGCTCAATGTTGGTTTTCATGATATTGTTTAACTTTGTTTAACTTTTACATATACCTCCAACATACATGACATAGTATCAGATTAATGATTAAAAGTAATTTATATATGACAATGTGAAGTAATATATATGTGAAGTAATATATATGACAATGTGAAGTATGAATTACTTTGTGAAACAGAATAACAACACACTGTCATGCAATTTATACCAATTAGGAATTAGACTATTTACCAGATTTGTAATAACATAAGCAACACGACTGGTGCCACATGTGGAGCAGGATCTGCTTACCCTTCCGGAGCACCTGAGATCACCCCCAGTTTTTGGTGGGGTTTGTGTTGCTTAGTCTTTAGTTTTCTATGTTGTGTCATCTGTACTATTATTTCTGTCTTTTTATTTTTGGCCATGGCGTTGTCAGTTTGTTTTCAATCTATGAGTTTGACTGTCCCTCTGGTATCTTTCGTCCCTCTTTTATACCTGTTCTGTTAGACAATATTAGAAAATAACAGCATTTTCTCGGAAAAATAACAAAGATCTACATTTATTTACAAGTTTCCTTGATTTACACTGAGTTACACTTTTACATGTATCTGTATGTACACAAATGTACAAGAAGTCTTCAAGGAAACTAAGGGAGTCTTAAATGTGAAATGTGATTACAGTCAATGTACAATATACATTGTATGCCCGCTGTCACCAGAGGGGGCATTACATGTTTCCCTTGCAATTGTCTGTCTGTACATACATCCCAAAATTGGTTTCCGTTCTCTAACTTTAGTTTGCCTTAACCAATTGTTATGAAAAATATACACAATGCTTATTACCACAAAACACAGATCAAGTTCATATTTGGATAGCATCACTTTTACTGTTCTTGACTTGTGCCTCTTTATAACATTATATGCAAGTGGATGCATAATCTGTATCCCATGGACACATTTTCCATTTATTGTTTAATTGAATTGCTGTATTTTGTATTAAAAAAGAGTATATAATTGAGCCTGCAACCCATTGGCACAAACACATATATTTATGAATATTATGGGCTAATGCCCTGAGTAAGCCGTGTACTCTTATCTTTGTATGTCAGTAACGTTTCTAGAAGTAAACTACTCTATTCATCGTTTGTTTATTTACAGGAGCACTGCACACTGAACTTTGAACAACTTAATGTTTCTATTTATAAATAAATGCTAAAAAATGCAATTAAGCATATGAAAACAGTTAGTTTCCTGTGGCTGTTGATATTTTTATTTTCAAAATGTAAATAAACATTTCACTCACTGCTAAGAAAATATGGAAGTTCAAAGCATGGCCTAGTTTTTTAAACATTTGAATAACCATGCAATGTGAAATAGAAAGGTGTGCTTTGGAGGCAAATGATTCTCACCTGGTAAGAAATTACAAGTTTTCATATACAATTAAACTTAGTGTCTGGTTTAAATGGACCACAGTTCCTCTTTAGTCACAAAATAACATCACATTATATGGTATGCTACATGTAGGTCATTGGACCAAATTTCCAACAAAATATATTTCAGTCTAAGACTGACAAGATTTGGTCCATGACAAAACAAGTCAGTAACTTCAATCGACATGTATAATTACTGTATGTCCAAAGTACATGTACATGTACACGGCAAATGTTGGAAATACATTTAAACTTAATTCCCATCAAATTCATTTATCAGTTTTTTTTTGAGACAGCAACACTATCAGTGTTCCTATGTTTTCAGAGTTAAATTAGGATAGAAAATACTTTTCTCTGCTGTACTTAGTTACAATTTTGTTTATCTGCTGCTTTTATAAAATCTTTCATTAGGTCCAGTGTCATTTTATTACAAATATACTTGTCAGGTTGCTACATTGTATATTATATGTCCTGTCTACACAAGTACACTCACTTCCATGATTCTATTTGCTTAATTTCTCTTAGTTTTGTATGTCCAGCCTGCTTTGTGTCTATATTTCAATGTTTTATTTCTCTATGTTTAGCCTAATTTGTGGTTCTGTTTGCCCAGTCTTCTGTATGATTCTATATTCAAAGTTTGCTCATCATTGATAAGCATGCAATATGTGCCACTAAACATTAAGTAACCAACAATCAATCAGTCAAAGTTTGCTTTCTTATTTTGGTGTGTACAGACTGGTTCTTTGGTCTTCACATTATATTTATTGTTTTACTTTGTAATATATTAGTGTGTACAGATTAGTTAATCTTTGGTCTTTACATTACATTTATTGTTTTACTTTGTAATAGATTAGTGTGTACAGATTGGTTCTTTGGTCTTTACATTATATTTATTGGTTTACTTTGTAATAGATTAGTGTGTACAGATTGGTTCTTTAGTTCAGCTATCCAGTGGGAAGAAAAATGATTCCATAACTCACTGGTGTTACTTAATTGTGCTTATCTGATGAAGTATTCCTGTGAACAACGGTGTAATTTTGCCTTTCATTACCCTATCTCTTAATATTTTAATGAGTTTTATGTAGACATGAACAAACTAAAATACAAGGATAACAGAATGTTAGTCTTGATTGAATAAATCTTACCAGTTCTATCAAGGTTTCAATTATCCAAAAGTGCACTTATGAAACATAAATTTAGATAATTTGAAATTCAAATTTGCTGTTCAAAAGCAATTTATTTACAATGTTACATAATTGTTAGAACAGTGAGTACACTTCATTGGGATCAAATTTCATTATGAAGTATTTATCAATATTGTTATAAGGGGTTGTCCAGGAAATCAATACTTTAACAGGACATAATGTGATACTTGACTCTTTGACAAGGTAGGTTAACATCATTGACTAGTAAGTAAGTGTCACTTTTCCTTTATTTTTTTATGTTTTCATGGCATGAACATTTTTGCTCTGGCATTCATTAGTAGAACTGAATATGACAGGAATTATATCATTGATTTTGTTTTGACAAGATTTATGTTAGATAATTATGTAGTATCCATTCAAATATATGATGGAGTTGTTTCATTTCTCACAATTATGATGATGTTTATAAGAATATTCTTTTTTTCTCTCAAGTTTGTAAAATGTATTCAGATAGCACCATGGAACCATACAAATGATGCTGTAAGACCTGGCAAGAACATTGTGTCGTAGGTACCCAAAACAAACCATCGGTAATAATGATATTACAAAATCACAGAAATATATTGTAATTTCTAAAATTTTTGCGATACTTTCATGATTGAGAAAATTGTGCCAGGATTGATTTCACTAAAACAAAAAAGACATGCATTTTCATTTTTGAATTTTGATTGCATTATTTCATGCTGAGTTTCTTTAAATGACAACGATTTTCTCTCATTAATTGATGTCCATCATTTAACAATCACAATTACAAATGAACAAACATTGTATGCTTGTACAATATGATTTGTGAATTAATTAGAATATTTTGCATTTGTTGCTGTCAAAGATAATGTTAAACACATTTTGTAGGGATTTGATTTTTAGATTTAGTACTTTTACATTTTGTAATGCTTCTTTGACTGATCTTTTACATGTAAGTTCAGATCAAAGACTTTAAGTGACATACAATGTTATAACTTGGTGTAAGAAAACATGTAAAGTATTTCAGCCTCCAAAAAATTGGGTCATTTTCATCTACGTTTTATGCTTCGTACTGAATGTGATTTCAGTGGTTTGTCTAATTGAGTTTCAATTTATTGTAGGCAGTTAGGAAATGAAGGACCCTTAGGAAAAAGAGTTCCCATTTTTATAAGCCCGTTTATGGGACGTATTATGGTATACCATTGTCCGTCTGTCCGTCCGTCCGTCAGTCTGTCTGTCCGTCGTCAACATGTCGGACATTAACTCAAAAACGCTTGAACCAATTTGCATAAAACTTTGGTGAATTGTTTATATCTATTGACGTGACCTCCTTTCGTTTTTTATAAATTTTAGATTTTACGTTTTCGAGTTATGGGGTTTTATTCATTAAAAAAAGGGGGATTTTCCAGTTTTTGGACAATAACTCAAGAATGCTTTCACCAACTTGCAAGAAATTTTGGTTAATTGTTTATATTTATTGACATGAGCTCCCTTTTGATTTTTATAAATTTTAGATTTTACGTTTCCAAGTTACAGGGTTTTATTCATAAAAAAAAGGGGGCTTTTCCAGTTTTCGGACTATAACTCAAAAATACTTTCAGCAGTTCACATGAAACTTTGATGAATTGTTGATATCTATTGATGTAAGCTCCCTTTAGAATTTTATAAATTTTACATTTTACTTTTCCGAGTAATGGGGTTTTATTCATTAAAAAAGGGGGGATTTTCCAGTTTTCAGACAATAACTCAAAAATGCTTTCAGCAGTTCTTATGAAACTTTGGTGAATTGTTTATATCTATTGATGTAAGCTCCCTTTAGAATTTTATAAATTTTATTTGTTTATAGTCTGACAACAGATTTACTAAGTATTGCACAACAGCATAGTGTATTGCACAACAGCAAGAAATCTTTAATTGAATATCAATTCAATTCAATTAACCAATTTCAAGTTCTTTGACTTCATTTATTCAGAAACCTATAATATGTCAAATATTTAATTACAATCCAAATTCAGACCTGTATCAAGCTTGAATATTGTGTCCATTTTTGCCCCAACTGTTCAGGGTTGGACCTCTGCGGGCGTATCCAGCTGCGCTCAGCGAAGCAGTTTTTATTAGATTTGAAATATAACTGTTTGACCAGTTTATTTTTTGGGACTTTAATTGTGAAATTGTAAGAATATTTTTTTCTATAATGTTCATAGATCTACTACATATAGCTATTTAGTAAGGCACTTTTGGCAATCTTTATCTTGTCCAGTATGTGCACAAAATATTTGCCACTGGACATTAAGGATCCAACAATCAATCAATCTTAATCAGTTTTGTAAGTTCTTCATTTGTTTAGATTAATTGATATATAACTGGTTTGAACATGGAAAAGTCACCATGACCAGTGTTGTGCATCATTTTGGTTTACCAAACATTATGACTAAATGATGTGCCTTATTTAAACTGGAAATCTAAGGGTTATGCCCAAATTAATTAAGTTACTATATTTTTTAACTTAATTTGTGTTTCTCCAACTACCAGTGATGTATTGCTGCTACATGTGGAAATGGATAATGTATACATAAGTAATTCATGGGATAACGGTCAAATTACCTAGAAGTTTTTCAAATTTATAAAACCGTGAAATAGAATAATGAAATATTCAATAAAAGACAAACTTGGATGTTTCCATTGATTTGTACAGTATGGGTATAAATTTTTATTCCAATGTTCCAGTGATTACTTTGTTATAATGACAAACTAATTGGAAAGACTTCCTTTTGAACCCCCACGTTGACAAATTAGCATAGATAATGTACACTAAGGGGAGTTCAAAAGGTTACTCTGTTTTCCCAAGTTTGCATCCAATAATGGATAATGTTCCTTATACATCTTTCTGAAAATTTCTGGAAATGGCATATGCCTCCAGTTTCTGTTGATATATGGCATACTTTTTGTAATCTGTAAAGGAGAATGATCGATCACAGAACTGTACAATAAGGCAGCCTCTGTAATTGGGTTATAAGTATTATATCACTTTGTTCCATGTCAAAACAAAAATTCTATTGAAGGTAAATTGATTTTGTTATTTTTTTAAATCAGTTTTATTATAACTAGTTTAAGCTGATTATTTCACAGCTGCATTGATTAAATTGTAATGTCAAATTTGTTTATAATTATATCATGCTAAAGGAACCAACCATAATAGCATGTGGTAGAGACCTGTAAGGGTTCAAATATTTGTTGATATGAGGTCAGGATGTTTTAATGCTATATATTGTATTAGGTCAACTTATAATTGTATATATATTGGAGTACAACGAACTTTTGAAAGTATAAGCAGCTCGTTTCAGTAATGATTTAAAATAAAAGAATGATTACCAAGGTTACACCTTTCCTGCATGAGAAGTACTGTGGGGTTTATCAGTAGACCCATATTGCTCTGATTGGCCTCAGAAAGTTTTAAAAAAGGAACATTTGATGTTAGAGCAACATAGGACTATATAATGTGGGGGCATTCGTGTTAAGTCACTCTAACTATTATGTTTACAGTTAAGATGTCTTTCTGCAGTCTTTTACTTTGTGTACTAGCCTGATTACATATTGGTTAATTTTAGTACAAATCAGGGTTTGTATGCCATTCCACCATCCCTCATGCTGATTATGCATTTGTGCTACCAGTGTTTTTCATACACTTTTTCTTCCACAGGCCTGATTCTAATTTTTATGCCCCCGCCATAGTGGAGGGGGCATTAAATTTTACCCTTGTCCGTCTGTAAGTCCGTACGTCCCAAAGTTGGTTTCTGTTCTCTAACACAAGTTTGCCTCAACCAAATGTTATGAAACTTATACACATGGATTATTACCACCAAATACAGATAAAGTTTGAATTTTGGTGGTGTCACTTTAACCATTCTAGAGTTATGCCCCTTTACAAATGGAAAAATTTAATACTGAATTTTTTGTTTCTGTTCTCTAACTTTAGTTTGCCTCAACCAAATGTTATGAAACTTATACACATGGCATATTACAGATCAAGTTTGAATTTTGGTTGTGTCACACTAACCGTTCTAGAGTCATGCCCCTTTACAAATGGAAAAATTGCTGAATTTTTTGTTTCTGTTCTCTTAACGTAAGTTTGCCTCAACCAAATGTTATGAAACTTATACACATGGCTTATTACCACAAAATACAGATCAAGTTTGAATTTTGGGGATGTCACTTTTATTGTTCTAGAGTTTTGCCCCTTTACAAATGGAAAAATTGCTAAATTTTTTGTTTCTGTTCTCTAACTTAAGTTTGCCTCAACCAAATGTTATGAAACTTATACACAATGCTTATTACCACAAAACTCAGATCAAGTACACATTTGGCTAGGGTCACTTTAACCGTTCTTCAGTTATTTCCCTTTATAATTTTATATGATATGCTAGCGGGGGCATCATCTGTGTCCCATTTATTTTTAAATTTTTGCATAGATTTTGGGTCTGTGTTCAACTTGTCGTTAGTACTAACAAGTCCTTAAAATTTCTTAATCATTTGATTAAAAATAATCATGTGATTAGTGTGTTGTTCAACTTGTTGTTAATTTTAATGCAGTGTTAAAAATGTTAAAACTGTCGTTCAATTAAATCCACCTCATGAAGATGTATTAAATTTTAATCACAAACATGGCTTCTGTAGCAATGCATAAACTGGTTTATGCTCGAAAAATGAGACGTTTAAGAGATATTTATCCCCTGGAAAGGTATCTTAGCAATGACCAGCTATGAAAGCGCTTTTAAAGATTTGAAAAAAAAAACAATAGATTTGTTAGGAGTTGATTTGAAACATAAATTGGAAAGGGATTGGACAAACAGGGTGAAGGATCGGACGGATACATACAATGGTCATCCGATAACAGAAAGAAATTGCACATATCGACAGTTTTTCGTTTGTATGTTACCGCTTACTGAGACGGGCCACATTATTGTGCGGAATCATTCAACAAATTATGAAGAACCAGCTTTTATAAATAATAAAGGTTACCATAGCATTAATGTACGGGCCATAAGTGATTTCCAAAGCAAGTCTTTGCTTACTTTCCCGTTTTTTTCGAAGTTCAAATATTAGCACATTTAGTAGCGCCCTTAACCTAACTGCTTTATGCAGGTAAATTTGAATGGATAAATTCATCCCACAGATAGCTCGGACCCTACAATATTTATCTTTTTGCGTAGTTTTAAATC